GACTGTGGTAATGAGTGAGTCACTGAATCATTCATTCAACTGAGATTATAATGTTTAATCTAAAAATCGTAAAAGAAGATCCAAAGTGATTTATTACAGGGACCCACAATCCCACTGCAGCAACCTGGTGAAAAGAGCCTTGCTGAAGGACACACGGCTGCGGACAAAAATGAGTATGTAATTGTTAACATATGAAATTAAATTTGGCAAGAAATTGAAAGCTGACAACACGATTTGTGTAAATGTTTTGCAGGTAGTCGTGTTCATGGAGAGCAGGCACACGAATGATTAAAGCAGACACAGTAGCAGCCAGATTTGGAAATACGTTGCATTTATTGAACAAAACAGTGAATTCTCCTTAAAATAAATAATATTAAATATATTAAAATGTATGAATAGCATAAAAAACACAAATAAAATCAACAATGTAGTGCACTTCCACGATCTCTTAAAAACAAGTAATAAAATACAGATATCAGATTACAAAATAGAGCAAAATAAGTTTGCTCACTACGTGCCATAACAAACCGAAAAGTCCTAAACAACATTTTACAACACTCTACATTTTAAACATAATCAACAATCAAATTCCACTCAGTAACTCAATCCAATAATATATAATAATATAAGGCTGGCCTACCATCATGGCTTAGAACTAACAGAAAACAAGTTAAACTTCAACTTCAGACTAACTAAACGTGATTCAGGCCAAAATGCTGGTAGGGTTACACATATATACCCTTAAAGGATTGTAGCCAGAAACACCAGACTGTTTATATGATCTGGTTTGAGTGATGAGCTCAAGCAGGAGACAATATTTCCAGCAGTGCTAAAGACCATCTCTGAAGAACAGCTTGTGGCTGGAATACACAGATATTTCCTTGTCAGATTGGAAAGCCGTGGGTAGAGCCGTGGCTCTGAGATTCCCTCCGTTTCAGTGGGTCTTCCTCAGCATCCAGTGCCTCTGTCTGCAGGAACGACTGTAGCTCAAGAGCTATGGCCTGGTCCTGTTGCAGAGGAGGTCCTGCAGCTTTCTGTGGTGACCTTGAAGAAGCTGCCCTGGCCCATCCTCAGTAACATCAGAAGGCATTGTTGCTGTCTCAAGAGGGGCGTTCTCCTTGGAGAACATATTATGTTTAATCTAAAGGTTGTGGTATTAAATGTTCACATTATTTTCTTAGCACATTATTCCAATGAACTTATCATTATTATTATTACCGCCATGGCAGTCATCACCCTCTTCATCTCTGCAGTCAGTCTGTCTTCACTGACCTATTTAAGCTTGACAAGGTTGAAGGCAGGGCAGAGGCCATATTGAGTAGCTCTTGTGTCACTGGGTTCGCTGTATTTGTCATTGAGGTAGTCTACTATCTTCTGTGGGATGCTTTTGGCCAGGTCTGTGTCATCCTCCTGCACTTCCAATATTGAATTGTTGAAGAGGTGGAGGGTTGGTTTTAGAAAAGACACACTTATATATTTATCTCCAGAAAGTGCGTCAGTGAATTCCACCAGAGGGCTAAGAGACTTATTAATGGCCTCCAGTACATCAATGTCCGACCAAGAAAGGGTGAGATGTCTGAGTTTTCGGCCACTAGAAAGGACCTGGGCAATGGCCTTATCCTGCTCTAGCACTCTGTCGATCATGGCCTGCCTAGATCCCCATTTGGTTGGGCATTCTGTTTTAAGGGAGTGTTCAGACAGATACAGCTGCGTCTGTGCCTCTGCAAGTTCCCTCTTTTTTTCCAACTTTAGGAAAAGCTGTTAACGAGCTTCTTGCAGACCCCCATTGCACGGTCCATCCTGGGATCCTTCATTGCATTCTCTAAGATTACAATATATGGTATTTAGTATCATCAATTTGATCATTGCAACCCTCATCAAAGCATCATTTGCTGAGACAGCGTGAGAAAGCATCAAAGAGTAGTTCAAGTGGTAATAATAATTATAGTAGCAGTAATAAAAGGTTAGCATGACAGAGACAATCACACAGTAATTGGTGCCAACAAACGACAACAGTAAATACAAATTGGGGTGAATGAAAATATCAAGAATATCA